GAGTAACCATGGCAATACTCAGCCTCAAGTTTCCTGGTTTACAGGCTGTGACCTGAAGCTGAGGACACAGTGCCCTGGGAGACAAGCTGCTAAGGGATTTGCACAGGGAGTAGGTCTTTATCAGCCAGACTTGGCAAAAGAGGCTGGCATAGTATTTTAAGTTGCTTTGTGTTAATAAGCTTAGTTAGACATAAGCAACTCTGAGCTTGTACATATGTGTAAAGTTTTTCATTTATGGTCTGTTTACAGAAACATTCAGTCTAGTTTGAAATTGCTCTGAGGTTTCAAATCAGCTAAATATATGTAGGTTGTCTTAGATTTGGGAGAAATTGTTGTTTTCTTATGTTAGTCTGAGTTAAAGAAACAAAACTGGCTTTTAAGTCTCTTACAGTCCTCATGGGACAATAGATCTGATTATGAAGCATATCTTAGGATATTTTCTATTTATCAAAATTATACAGCTTAATGAGAAGTCATCTTCCTGACCATCCACAGATATATGTGCCCATAAGATTGAGATGTAATCATGAGGTTACTTATACACATCACATGAGATTACTCATTCCAGTGCAGGTATTGGGAAGATACCATCGTTGTTTCTGCACATGGAAAATCACAGACAGTTTTCAGAGTCTGTGGCCTCATAAGCTTTGCTTGAATGAGGTTCTCCTCCATCAGAGAATTATCCATCTAGTGGGTTGACAACGGTATTATCAATTGCTATCTCCTGTATTTGCATCATGGCCCGCAATAGCTCATGACATATCACCATGCCTGATTTCCCATTGTTCTTCTGATGAGAACAGAAGATACAAGCTGGCCAGGCAGTTTTAGGGCAGGTAACTGGAAAACAAGAAATTTCCTTGACTGGAAGCCAGAAGTAACCAGACTAACTTGACACCAACTCCTAAATGATTACAGGGCCTCGACACTTGAGAAGTTAATGCTACGTAGTTAAGTAGGGACCAGTAGCCTTTGAGGCAATTGAGGATGTCCACCTCCCTTATGGCTGGTTTTGGACACCACTTATACATCACAAAGCTACTTCCTCTCGGCTAAAGGAATGACATCTGAGGTCCATTTCTGGCCCTGGGTAGAGACATGACATTCTCATCTGTTCCAATGATTGCAACATCACTTATTACTGTCCCCGAAGAGTTATTATTACTAATCACCACTTCTCCTTTAAGAGTTAATCTACCTAGGCCTATGCATCACCTGGCTAGGAGACTGCATCTGATTCTCCTGCAGACAAGCTAAGGAGATGGAAAGAATACTCAGGCCCCTGGGGAGAAGGTGTACTTCTCAGAAGCCCTACCCCCTATCAGTAGCTTCCACAGCTTCCACCAGGAAGTCCTGCTGAGTCTGTCCACTGTTCTGAATTCTAAGTAAGGTGTGACTTTCCCTCTGCTTTCTATTTCTTTTCCACAGCATGCTTTTCTTGACACGTGGACCTCTTACTGCTTCTCTGCAGACTCCTCTCTCGGGATCCTGATGACCCACTCTCCATGCAGATGCTTGCCTGACCTTCATTGCTAAACCTGCCTATTTCCTGGGATCCATTCTCCAAAGGCATGGCCTTTTCCTCTCATTCTCTTTCCTCCTGGCAGCTGCCAAGATTTACAGCTTGCCTGCCCTGTTGTTTTTGATGAAGACTAATAAAATGGTTCTCAGACTCTAATAAAATGGTCTGAGTCCTTTAAAATATTTTGTTGTAAGACGAAGAGCCCTAAGGAGAAATTCTCATTTTCTTGGCAACACTTTATGTATGAGTGTATGTGTAAGGGTGAATGTCTGTGAGTGTGGGTGAGCATACGTGAAGTGTGAGTGCATATGTGTGTGGTGTACACATGCCACACAGCTCATGGGGAGGTCAGAGCACTTTTCTAGGTTGGTTCTCTTCCTTCCAACATCCCTCCAGGGTGGGATATGAGGATCCAGTCAAGTTGTCAGGCTCAGAAGACAGGCACTTTTACCCCGAGTCACCTTGCTT